ATTTTTGGGCGAGGCTAGCTTCATCATTAAAAATTACTAGAATTTTGAATTCTTGATATTTACTTCTCTTTCTTTTTTTTTTAAATATATATTAGAAGTATATCTCTATAAGTAAAGCTGTGTGGTTGAGTTGACATGTGCGTCGTTGTCTTCCCGACTGCTTCGGGTTCAAACCTCCTTGGCTTCACGTATAATGAGATTATTTTATTGGGGGAGGCGAAGGCGATAACCGATGGTGGACAGCATGCGGCGGTAAGTGGCGATTGTGAATCATCGAGTCGTGTCGCAGGTCTGACATGTTAGACAGGTTCCATTGCAGAGTGTGTCCAAAGAGTCAGGTGATGTCGCGGCTGTGTAATCATTTCTCATCTGCGGGACCTCTATCTGTGCATATAAAGCAATAGTAGATTATTTCTACTTGGGCTAAGCCCCATGTCTTTTTCCCTTTCCGAATTTTCCACATAAAAACTTCTTGTGTTTCTACATGTAGCTTTTATCTGAGTAAGAATGTTTTTTGCTAAGAAAATTATCCCGAGATTCATGTCATATCCAAAAATTTGTGTCCTATGATGAAAATTTGTTAGGTGAGCCTAGCTTCATCGTCCGAAAATTCTGTAACCTTGGATTCTTGATATATATATTTTTTGTTTCTATTTTTAAATATATATACCTATATACATACATGTGTGTATTTATTTATTTATAAGTATATAAGAAAAGTTAAGTAGCCCAGTTGGCATGTGTCTTATAGTCTTCGCAGTTGTCCCACATTCAAACTTCCTTTGCTCCACATATAATGGGATTATTTTGCTCGCGGCAGCCACGGAAGCAATGACTATCGGTGGCCGGTGAGGGCTGGCAGCGGAATTGATGACCGTCGGCAGTGGACGGCAGCGGCCAGCAACAGATGGGTCATCGGGTTGTGCCGCAAGTTCTACAGGTCAGGTGGGTCTCGACGGCGAGGCAGGTCCCCACGACAGAGCCGGTCCAATAAGCCATGGCTGAAAGTTATGCAGTTAAATATGAAAGTTTGAAGTGATAAATAAGTAAATATATAGGAATTATGTGATTTGCATATATATTTAAATGCCCATAAAAAAATTATAGTAAATAAATAATTTATAATTGAAAAAAATTTAAATTGCGTTCTAACCCAACATCAATCATTTCCCTAATTATTGAACATGACGCAAAATTATTAAGCCATTAATCCTCAATAATTTTTTCTGTTATTATATTAATCTAATATAAGAGAAATTACTGCTTTTAATGTATTTATATATTAAATTAACTATTACCACATCTTCACATAAAAGCTTCATGATTCTTATGTATTTACATAGCTAACAACTAAACTTTTAATATTTACATACATAACACTCAAATCTTTATTATCACATTAAAATATGATTATAATTAAGTTTTTAAATAGTGAAATAAACTTTTCTTTTTATAGTTTATGACACTAAAATAATATAAATATAAATACCAAACTTTGAAGGATTCATATGTAAATACAAAAAAAAATTGTGTGAACTGTGTAAATTTTCCTAAATTTTGATAACCTAGATTGGTTATCTACTTATCTGTTAAATATGTCATCTGGGATAACTAAAATATTAAACTTTCATATTTGAATTGTTGTAAATATATCGTGTTAGTTTCTTATTTATGTGATCCACTGTCATTTATTTTAATAGTAATTCATTAACTAAAAAGAAGAGGGTCGCGTCTCTTCCCAATAGACACTGCATCTTTTCACTTTAATTAATTAATTCAATTATCCTAAATGAAGAGTCATGTCTCTTCCCAAAAGGCATCATATTGTTTCACTTTAATTAATTAATTAAATTATCTTAAATCTTATCTTTTCTCTTAATCGGAAAGTACAGAAAAAAATAATGATTAAAGAGAGAAATTCTATCTCTTCAAATTGAATTCTATGATCATAAATACAAGTACATATATCTCATTTATGGGTATGTGAAAATTATAAATTAAAAAATCTTGGTCATTTAATTTTTATGAATTTTGAGTCATGAAGTTGAATTTTATAAATTAAAAATCCTAACATATCTCATTAAAGTTAGAAAATTAAATATTACTTTATGTAACATACTAAAATACATTATATTAATATGTTATTTTATTTAATTTTAAATTTTAAATTTTTAGGTTTACCAATATCTGGATATTCTTAGCATGATTCCCATAAATTTCAATTTATAAAATGCATTTTTCTAAATTTGTAGGGACAATTATCAATAAACAGGTGTTGGATACGAAAATACATAAGAATTGAGTGGTATCTTTGTAAATCTTCCATTTTTATAAGATTTCATTGGTTTGATGAATATTAATTCTCCCTTCACCACATAAGTCGCCATCTCTTATCTCTACAAAAATTAGACAAAAAAAGAAAAAAAAAATCTTTAATTAAATAATCATAAATATTGTATGCCTTTCAATTAAACCTGCATAATTTGTTTTATTAAATGGATAAAAATTAATTAATTATTTTAAAAATTATATAAAAGGACCATCAAATCAAGCATACGTAATTATATCATATACTCTAATTATTTTAAAATGAATAAAAATTTTTATTCCCTTAATTATTCAGGATTGTGAATAAAATATGTGCATATAAATGTCATAAAAAATAATTAATCAAATTAAATTATTCAGGATTATGAATAAAGAATATGTACATAATATCCGTGTATTTGGTCTTTCTTTTCAAAAAGTTCTTCCGAAATATGCACTTTTTTGCGTCTATACCTGCCTAAATACAGTGGTAGAAAGCTGCAATATGAACTTTAAGAAAAATGTAATAACCACCATAACTTTTTGAATAAGTGTTTATTTTAAAACAATTTTATATCTGATTCTTCAAACAGCTGCAGTTACAATTAATCATATTATCAGTATTTTGACCAAACTAATTTAATTAATAGTTTTTTTATGAGGCTTATAAGGCAATACTTTTAGGTGACAATGACATAGTATTTATCCATGGAAGTATCCACGTTAAGAAAATTAAATTTGTCCGCATGCACATTGGATGCCATCCTGCTGGACCTGACATGCATGATGCATCTCAAATGATTCATTATTTTTGACCCAAATTATGTGAGGTGGGCCCAAAAAGGGCTCTACTCACACTCTCAACTACTACTATGCTTTTATGTAAAATTTAGTATACATTTTATTATAGAGGATTTAATTATAAAAAACTAAGTAAGACAATTTAGAATTAATTGAAATTGATCATATTGGATCATAAATGAATCAGCTATGAATTTTTATATAAAGTTTATAGGTTGAAATGAACATTTCTATAAGAAAATCCAATGAAACCAAATTGTTATGATCCAAATCTAATTGGATGTAGATTAATCACTTGAAGAGATCTTAAAACCTTCATTATAATACTTTTAAGTATGAGGAATTAAGATAATCATCTTAAAAAGATAATCTAACGGCTAGTAGTGGGCGGGGTCCTCAAAAGAAAGACTTCATAAAATCAAGTGGTTGACGGAGTTTACACCAAATAATTATATAAGTCTGGCCTAAGAAGGTACAAGTGCACTAAAAATCTCATAAGACTATGAGCCTCAAAAGATTCAATTACATCAAAAGCCTCAGAAGACACAAGTCTTGGAAGACAAAAATCTGAGTACGCGACAAATTTCGGATGATACAAGTACATCAAATGCCTCGGAAGGCACATACCTAAAAAAACACGAACCTCAAATGACATGAGCCTTAAATGTACATGATTTTTCTATATGCAAATAACATAAGCTAACCTTGGGGGAGACGGATTTTGCACAATCATGAACGTTAGCAGCGGAAGTGACCCTTGTTCATCGTTGTACATTTTGTCTTCATCTTCATCTAATTTAGCACCTTGTGGTCATCGCTTTGCAACGTCCCATGCCTATCCAAATTTTATTGCGACATCTCTAATTTTATTTTTGGAACCACATAAGTACTATTTAAAAGCAAACCAGAGATGACTAATATATATATATATATATAATTGCTATATTTCAAGCTAGTGTCTTTTCACAAATCAAGAGGCATATCATTATCAGCAGTGAGACAATGCATCATTGAAAAAAGTATCAGGAGTCTAATGAAATATATAATATATGCAACTTATCGGAAGCAAAAAAAGCTCAGCTCAAATAAGAATTCGAGCCAAACACACGCCTAATTCGAACAAATGAATATGATTCAAGCTGAACACAAACAAGCTACCCATAAGTCATTTCGAACATAAGCCGAACACGAACATTTTTTCTATTTTTTGAACTAGCGGAGCACAAACAAATCTTAATCTCTTTAAAATACGACTCCTTTACACCCCTACCTCCAAGCCACCTTTTTTATGTATCATTCAACAAATTCTAACTTTTTTCCATTTTGCAACTAAATAAAAAAATAGTTGGATACTAAATTTACAATAATCTAATATTTTATTTGCAGCTAGGAGACAAAAATTTTGCGGGAAGGAGAAGACCAGACAGTTATATTTTACATTAACCATACGTTGCTTATGTTTAGGATAAGATCAGAGTTAAATGGTAATACTTCAGAACACTAACGTCTATAGCAACAAATTAATTATATAGCATTAATTACCTCACAATATGGTAATGATATAAATGAAAATATATTTTTATAAAACATAAGTAAGGACAAATACTTTGAAAATAATCCAAATATGAAGGAGGAAATATTGTCAAAAAAATACGAAATAAATTTAAATACTGAAGTAAAAACTGTAAAATATTATTAATTATTATATTTTAATTAGTTAATTAATTAATTTTCTCGGTTATATCGATCTTTCTCTCTCTCTCTACTCTCTTTTCTGCGCTGTGGGTGGTGAAAGCGACGGCCCAGCAATGGGAGAGTGGCATATCCACCTACTTTAAAAAATGAAACTTTAATTCGCCTTTTTTTTGGGTATTTAAAGGGGCGGAGTGCAGCTATTCTCTTCATCCATTGCTCCTAACTCCGTTCACTCCGTTTTCTTGTTCTCCGTTTGCTTTCCCTCATTGCAGTCTGCCTTTTCTCCATTATTTTCTTCATTTTGGTCTTCTTCTGCAAGGTAAAGGTCACTTTCGTCTGCCGAAAGTCCTACAGAAAGTGAAGCTTTTTTTCTTTTGAATCTTTGATTAGGGTTTTCGGTGGGTAATTTTCTAGCTAGCTTCTTCATGAACTAGTGCAACTAAATAATGGAAGTTCTGAACGGAAATTAATGGCAAAATTACGATTTTTATATGAAGAAGATGATATCTGTGGAGGCAGGGGGGAGTGCTCTTGCTCCACTGGAACTATGGAATGGATGGTTTAATGGTATTCCAACATATGTAAACTGTGAGCACTGCGAAGCATGTCCTTAGACAAATATAAACTATAATTTTCAGCAAAAAAATGAACTTTTTATGCGGGGGATTTGAGTGGTTTGCACCGGAAAAAAAGAAAAGAAGTAATTTTATTTTCAAATTTCGTCATCTTATCATTCCAAAAATATCAGCTTTCTATCTACGGATTTTTTTTTAGTCACACGTATCATTCTGAAAATTTTCTTCTTTGTTATGCTTAGTAAACTACGAAAGATCCGCCTTTTATCAGCAAAAAAACATCACGTTTCTGATTTCAATCTCGCTGCCTTTTATGCCTTCATCACGTTTTCTAACTTATCTTTAGTAAGGCGTGGGAGTGCACCTAGTACTGAGCGAAAACCTCACTTGTTGTTTTCTGAAGCCGGTCTAATTTTCCTGGTCCATTTCTGAGTTTTTCTCAAGGAAAAAGTAGGAATCTTGCTTAAGATCTGCACAAGTTTGTTACCTCGAGATTAGATCTGGCTAATCTCCTAGTTTATAAAATATTTGTTTGCTTGGCTTGCCATGCAGGATGGTCTCTGCTCACATGTGGTTTATCAACTCTTACATTTTATTTTATTTTATTTGTAGATATGTTATTGAGCCTTTCTTGTTTTAATTTCTAAGTCAAAGATCTAAACTTTTATAGATTTTGCTAGAGATTTCTGACAAACTCTTGCTGTGCTTCTCTGTTTTTTTATTATGTAGTTTAGCTCTACTGAATCTGTAGCGGAGGAGAGGAGCCATGGCTGATAATAGATTTTTTGGCCGCGTTCATAGCGTTCGTGAGCGGCTTGGAGACACACTTTCAGCTCACACAAATGAGTTGCTTGCACTCTTCTCAAGGTGCTAAATTATTTTCCTGTTCTGTTCTTGTTTCACTGTTATAATTCACCATTAATCTCTTGTTAGATTGAATGATCGCCAATGAGTAATTGGTTAAATCGATCTTTTAATGATAAGATGGTTTTCAAATCATTAAAAAAAATCACTTATTCTCTGTTTAAAGCATTTGAATCTGCATGGCAAGTTTTGGTTAAAAGAAATTCATACAAGGAGTTACATCGTGTAGATTTGTCAAACAAGGGAAGGGGATGTTACTGCCCCACCAGATTCTGGCCGAGTATGAATCTGTGATCCCTGAAGCAGATCGTGAGAAGCTCAAAGGTGGTATTTTTGAAGATGTTCTCAAAGCTTCTCAGGTTTGATCGATTAGTTCCCTTTTTCTGCGCTTCCTTGAGCGTTTTTTTGTCCAAAGTAGTCCCTTTTTGTTCATTATCGACATCATTGTGTATGTTTTACAGGAGGCCATAGTTGTACCTCCATGGGTGGCGCTTGCAATCCGACCAAGGCCTGGAGTGTGGGAATATGTGAGGGTTAATGTAAGTGAATTGGCTGTGGAGGAGCTCACAGTGCCTGAGTACTTACAGTTCAAGGAAGAGCTCGTGGATGGGAGGTTGGTTCTCAAATTTCGTGGATCTATGGCTTAATTTACAGATTACAAATTCAATTTAAGCTGATTTACTTGTTTGCTTCTTCCAGATCTCAGAGCAACTTCACTTTAGAGTTAGACTTTGAGCCCTTTAATGCATCCTTCCCTCGCCCCTCCCTTTCGAAATCCATTGGTAATGGTGTGCAGTTTCTGAATCGCCATCTTTCCTCGAAACTGTTCTATGACAAGGAAAGCCTGTATCCGCTGCTCAATTTCTTGAGGCATCACCATTATAATGGGGTGGTGAGTTTTTTTCTGTCATGTTTATTAAGTTTCTCCTTTCCTTTTGTTCCACTGATTAGTAGTAGTTTGACTTGTAATCCTAAAATTGACTTGTAGAGCATGATGCTGAATGATAGAATTCAAAGCCTAACTGCTCTCCAAACTTCACTAAGGAAGGCTGAGGCACATCTACTCGGTATCCCACCGGACACACCTTATTCAGAGTTCAACCATAGGTATTCCATGGCTATCTTGCCTTTCTGTTTCATGCATATCTGAAGATTACCAGTGGCCACCATTAAATTTTTTCATTCAACGGAAAACTGTCTGCTTTTAGGTTCCAAGAGCTTGGCTTGGAGAAAGGTTGGGGCGATACAGCCGAGCGCGTGAAAGAGACCATTCATCTTCTCCTTGATCTTCTCGAAGCCCCCGATCCATGCACGTTGGAGAGCTTCCTTGGTAGAGTTCCCATGGTGTTTAACGTCGTCATCTTATCGCCTCACGGCTACTTCGCTCAAGCTAACGTCTTGGGTTATCCCGACACCGGCGGCCAGGTGATTTTCTCGAAGAATCAGTTCTATATTTTGAGCGAAGGTGGTATTGGGGTGATATTTTAATTTTAATACTATCTCAATATCACCAATTCACACCTAGCTCATCTGCACCTAATATTTTTAACCATATTTCAGTTCATGTTCATTCTTCCTTTTTCGGTTCAGCCATGATTATTAGTTTGATCTGCAGGTTGTGTACATTTTGGATCAAGTTCGTGCCTTGGAGAATGAAATGCTTCTCAGAATAAAGCAACAGGGGCTTGATATCACTCCAAGGATTCTCATTGTATGTTTTAATTATCTGATCTGATCCGATCCCTTGCGTATATTTAGAAGAAATTAAAGTATTCTCTCTGATACAGGTGACCAGATTGCTGCCAGATGCAGTAGGAACCACTTGTGGGCAGCGTCTAGAGAAGGTTATTGGGACTGAGCACACACACATTCTTAGAGTTCCCTTCCGAACAGAAAAAGGAGTCATTCGGAAATGGATATCGCGTTTTGAAGTGTGGCCTTACGTCGAAACTTTCTCTGATGTTCGTCTCTCTGATCTCTGCATTTCCATGAAAAGGCTTTAATCTTGTTTTGAAAGCAGACTCATTTGAATGATTGTTGTGAATCAGGATGTAGTGAACGAGTTGGCTAGAGAGCTGCAGGCAACCCCGGATCTCATTATTGGAAACTATAGTGATGGAAATCTCGTAGCTTCTTTGTTGGCGCACAAACTCGGAGTTACTCAGGTTTCCAAAATCAAATTTTTATTTATGTATTGATGAATTTATGAACTCTTGATTGTTTAATCACTGATATTTTGTTAATATCCAGTGCACAATTGCTCATGCCTTGGAGAAAACCAAGTACCCAAATTCTGATATATATTGGAAGAATTTTGAGGAACAATATCATTTCTCTTGCCAGTTCACTGCTGATCTTATTGCCATGAATCATGCTGATTTCATTATCACGAGCACATTCCAGGAGATTGCTGGAAGGTACTAAATTTTCACTAAGTAAATTCTTAAACATATGTTAATGAGGATTATTAACATGAATTATATTTCAGTAAGGATACTGTGGGGCAATATGAATCACACACTGCTTTCACTCTTCCCGGACTCTACCGAGTCGTTCATGGCATCGACGTCTTCGATCCCAAGTTCAATATCGTCTCCCCTGGAGCAGACATGTCGATCTATTTCTCCTATGCTGAGGAGAGCAAAAGGCTTACCGCACTTCACCCTGAAATTGAAGAACTGTTATTTAGTGATGTTGAGAACAGTGAGCACAAGTGAGATCCTATTCTTTTGCTCTCTTAAACATTATAAAGTTAAGATTTTGATTTCTTGACTGAGTTACAAACTATATGATTTCAGGTTTGGGTTGAAGGACAAGAACAAACCTATCATCTTCTCCATGGCTAGGCTCGATCGAGTGAAGAACATTACAGGCCTTGTTGAGCTCTACGGGAAGAATCCTCGTCTGAGGGAGCTTGTTAACCTCGTGGTGGTTGCTGGAGACCATGCGAAGGCATCTAAGGATCTTGAGGAACAAGAGGAGATGAAGAAGATGTACAAGTTTATCGAAGAGTACAAGCTCGACGGCCACATAAGGTGGATTTCAGCTCAGATGAACAGAGTCCGCAATGGCGAGCTGTATCGCTACGTCGCAGACAAGAAGGGTGCATTTGTTCAGGTAGAAAGAACTACATCTCTACTGGATTCCCAGCTTTCAAGTTTGAATTTTTAATAAAAATTTGTGTTCTTCTCTTTGTTCAGCCTGCATTCTATGAAGCTTTCGGATTAACGGTTGTCGAATCTATGACCTGCGGTCTGCCGACGTTTGCCACTGTGCATGGAGGACCTGGAGAGATCATAATACACGGAGTTTCAGGTTTTCACATTGATCCATATCAGGGCGATAAGGCTGCTGAGCTGCTCGTGAACTTCTTCGAGAAGAGCAGGGAGGATCCCGGTTACTGGACGAAGATCTCCAACGGAGCCATCAAGCGAATCGAGGAGAAGTAAAGATCTCAACTTTAAGCTCAAAATGACGAATTTTAACAAGATTTTCCGTGTTACAGCTTTGATTAACTCGATTCGCGAACTTGCAGATATACCTGGAAGCTCTACTCTGAGAGATTGATGACGTTATCTGGCGTTTATGGTTTCTGGAAGTATGTCTCGAATTTGGATAGGCGTGAGACCAAGCGCTATCTTGAGATGTTTTATGCGCTGAAATACCGTAATCTGGTACGCATAATTTGGATTTAAATTGATAAGAAAATTTCTTTGGATCTGTTTTAAGTTAATATTTTGCGTTTTTTTCTGCTGTTTCAGGCATTGTCTGTTCCTCTGCATTCTGATGAAGAGGCGGTTGTGAATGGAACAAAGTGAGGTTGTGCTAGCTGTGAGTTTCGGTGAGGGTTGTGAGATTGGCTTGTGTTGTTCTGTTTCTGCTGCGTGTTTTGAATTCATAATGTTTGCGTTTTTGGCCCAAAAATGTCATATTTGTAATGGAATTTCGAGGTTTCGGTTTGAATGTGATTTGATGTTTTTATCGCAAATATAATTTTTTTCCTTTTCTTGGTGAAAATATGGTCTTTTGAGATCTGAATGCACAACATGGAAGTAACAAAATTTTGTATTTACAGAACAACGATTAAAAGCTGTAGAAATATTGTTTTGTGCCAAGTATAAATTTTAAACACTCAGCTCGTACTTATAATTAAAGAAAACAAAAAAACAGGAAGAGGAGAAAGATTGAGAGATGTAGACAGAAAGAAATCAGAGTTGGGAGCCTGAAGAAGATAATTAGATATTTTATTATTTCATTACAGCTTGACACAATGTGATATAAATAGATAATCTGATGGCAGTGTAAAGGTTAAAATAGATATAACACACTTTATTTACACTATAAAGCTTTTGTTCCGGCAGAATCCCTAAGCTTTGGAAGAGTTGGCCGAAGCAATAGATGAGCGGCCAAAGGAAGGCGCAGTTCCTTCCATTGATCTAGGTGAACCTCTCGCCGACCTAACCAGAAGAGGCAAGTATGAACATGAAGGTCCTTTTTAACCCTCCTTGAAGATGAGGATCAAGTTGAGAGATTGTCATCTTGTTGGTGAGTTTTTTATGTCGAGCAGTTAGTAAAAATGCGGCATTTTGTTCTTCTGTCATTAGATGTTGTAGATGTATGTTTTCGAGCTAGATATATGGTCTTTGATAAAAAAATATTCAATTTCTATATGTTTAGTACGATCATCAAATACGGGATTGTGCGCAAGTGGGATAGCATGAGTGCTGTCATTATGTAGAATGGTAGAACGGGATGATTGATTTGTAAGTACATGCAACAATCTTCTTAACTAAATTATTTTAGTTGTGGCCGAAACAAGAGCCCTATATTATGTTTCGGTGAAAAATTTGGTGACCATGGGTTGTTTCTTTGATGACCACGAGATGAGATTGAGAAATAGATGTAGAATATAGAAATGGATTTCTTGTCGTTCAATCGACTTCTGTATATGCACTTAAGAGCAAAAATTTTGAGGTAATAGGTAAATCATAATTAAGCGTACCTTTTAAATACTTGAGAAGTAGTTATGATTGTTGGTAGTGAATGGCAGATGGTTGATGCATGTGTTGACTTAGGTAATTTAAAATGAATGTTCTATATGGGCGAGTAATTGTGAGACACTGTCGTGATCCTATGGCTTGTCTGTAATCGTTTAGATCGGTCAGAGGGTTGGGGTTATCGGTGGGTTACTGAAGTATTGTGGGCAAAAGTGTTAGAATTGGATTGGCTTGAACCATTTGAGTTTTGTGTAGGATATCAATGAGATATTGTGTTTGATTGAGAGAGTGCCCATGAGAGGTGTGATGTATGTGTAAACCGAGAAAAAGAGATATTGAGCCAAGTTGTGTTAAATTAAACGGAGCGCTTAGTATAATAATTAATTTGATAATAACAGTGGAGAATTTTCAGTTATTAAGATATCATCAAAATAAACTAATAAATAAATACATATGTTATGGTGATGATAAATTAATAAAGAGAGGTCGTCAGTGCTTAGAGTAAAATGTGTGTATAAAAAATTGCAAAAAGTGGAATACAACTGTCATGGATCCTATTTCAGATCATAAGTGACCTTGGTTATTTTGGAAGTAGGGCTAGGACGTGTAGAGTTAGTGAAGTCAGATGGTTGTGTCATGTAAATAGTGTCATCAAGTTTCTCATGGAAAAAAAATATTGAAAACATCAAGTTTTTGAATTTCCCATTATTTGGTGGTGGATAAAACAACGAGAAGATGAATGACATGAAATTTAACAATAGGGTTGAAGGTTTCATTGTAATCTATGCCTTGTTTTTATTTAAAACCTTGAGCCACAAGCCCAACTTTATATCAGGCTATTGAGACATAAACAAGATATTTAATTCAAAATGTCCATTTAGATCCTAGAATATTTTAATTTTTGGTGGGAGGAACAAGATCCCAAGTACCTTGCAGTTGTAATGCCATAAATTTGTCGGACATGGCTTGTCGTCTGTGAGAGAATTTGACAGCTTGGGTATAAGTATTGGGAGTGCCGAAAGAACTAATGGTGTGTTGAAGATCAAAACATTTTGTTAATTTTAAACTGTCAGCTTGTTGTCAGTTTATCATAGGATGTTGTTTGGTTTGGGAAGGTAAAGAAGATATGGAGGGGGAACACATCCAAGAGCAGGGTGTATGAGGGAGGGGAGTTGAGTTAGGATGGGCATCATATTAGTGGGGGAGGTGGGCAGAGAAGATTGATGTGATAAAATTGAAGAGGTAATGGGACCAGTTAGTGATGTGGATTTGTTAGTGAGAGATAGGTAGCATAAGAGGAGTATTTGTGGAGTGACTAGGTAAAGAGGAGGAATCCAAAGATTGTTTGAAAGAAAAAAATATCTTCAGCAAAAAGAACATGATGCGAAATAAAAGTGTCGTTCTTTTGAATATCATGACATTTGTAACCTTTATGAGGAGGGTTATAGCCAAAAACTATATATTGAGATGCTTTTGGATAAAACTTGTGAGTGATATGTTGTGATTGCCATGGAAAACATAAGCACTCAAAGGTTCAGGTGACATACTATATAGAAGTTGAAATGGGGATAGATGATAAGTGATGATAGAAGGGAGGCAATCGATTCGATAGTTGGCAGTTTGGATGGCATTAATCAAAAACTAAAGTGGAAGATGAGAAGTGTTGAGTAATATGTGTGTGATTTCTATTAAATGCCTGTTTTTACATTCTATAATTTCATTTTGTTCAGGAGTATACGAGCAACTATATTGGTCATGTGATGTGTATTCTCCTCCTCCTTCAGTTCTTAAAAAATCTATGTTAGCTTGAAAATGATTTTAAACATTTTATGCAGAGAAATAAACAGAACAATGGTTTTAAATTTATTTTGTAAGAGAATGCACCAACAAAAATGAGAAAAGACATCAATGAGAGTTACATAATATTTGTAGCCTTCTAAAGAGGCATGAGAGAAAGGTCCCTAGATATCTGAATGTAACATTTCAAAAAAAAATGTAAGTAGTGAACTATGAGAAAAAGATAGTTTGAGACTTTTATTTTAAGCAAATTCAGTACATAATTGAGAAGAGAGATTTTGAGGTGAGGATGAGAATGAGCTATCCTTTCAAGAACTTTCTTATGGTGATGACCTAATATGTGATGCCAGAGATTGAAACGTTTAATGCTATGAAGAACTGTGATCGTGTATAAGCCTTGATTTGCAGTTTCATAAAGAAGAATTGTCTTTGTTGATAGATCTTGAAATTAAAATTTATTGGCTAAAAAATAACTTGATAATTATTATCTTGTGTGAGTTTTTGAAAAAAAAAATGAGAGATATATTGAGAGATGCAGAAGAGAGGAAATCAAAGATGGGATTTTGAAAAAGATAAGTCAATCCTTTATTATTTCATTTCTTTGATCATAATTACAGCTTGATACAACGATATAAATAGATAGCCCAATGACAAACTAATAAATAATGTGAAGGATAAAATAGATATAACATTCTCCTTATTTACAAAATAGTATTTTTGTTCTACCAGAATCCCCAAGCATTGGAAGAATCGGCCAAAGCAATAGATGAGTGGCCAGAGGAAGACGCAAGCCCATCCATGGATCCAAATGAGCCCCTCTTAGAGATAATTGATAGAGGCGGGTATGAACACTAAGCTCCCTTTTTACTAATAAACTCTTTTGAACTTATTTTTGAAAATAATTGATCGTCAAAGTATAGGTTTTATGTAGATAAAATTCGTGAAAGTTTTATTTATGTACACCACTCAATCTTATGTAATTACATATCTAACCTCTAAACTTCAATTATATTTAGATATAAGAATTGGGTGACATAAATATATAGTTAAGGTTGAGCCAATTATGTAAATACATATGAATAGAGTGGTATGTATCTAAATGACGTTTGATCTCCGTCGGGCTTCTTCCTCTCCCGAAGTCCATGGCGGCGGGTCGCTTCTCCTCCTTCTTCAGCCGAGCCGCCTCCGTTCCATGGAGCAGCATCGCCGGAGAAGCCTTTGATCGCGTCGTACTCGTCGCCAAGACCGTTTGCTTCGTCCATGTCATCAATAACTACGTCTGCAGCATCGCTCTGGTCCTCTCTCTCTCCCCTTCACACCCTCTTCTCGAATCTCTTCGCATGGATTCCTAAACGCTGATGCTTTCAGGTTCGAGGTCCGAGCATGCTGCCGAACATTAACATGACAGGAGATATAGTGGCGGTGGAGCGGTTTAGCCCTCGTTGGAACCTGATCGACGTTGGTGACGTCGTGCTTCTCCGATCGCCGGAGAACCCAATGAAGACCGTCACGAAGAGGGTGCTCGGTCTTGAGGGCGATACCGTCACTTTTCTGGTCGATCCCAGCAATGGGTTCGCGTCTAAGACTGTTTTGGTGGGTGCGGTTGTTTCTCTCGTACTTCGGCATTCAGTCGATTATCTCTGAGCTCTTCTCCGCCCTTTTTGTTTTGCTAAGAATGTGTGTTCCATTATTAGGTGCCGAAGGGACATGTTTGGGTGCAGGGGGATAACATTTATGAATCTAGGGATTCAAGACAATTCGGGCCGGTACCTTATGGATTGATACATGGGAGGGCATTTTGTAGGGTGAGCTTCTAGTTTTAACTTTTTTTCTTCCAACATATGTTTTTGTTCAAGAAGCATTTTTTTAACTAGTTAGCAAGCATCATAATCATTCTGAACTTTGCTTTTCTTTTCCTGTCACATGCAACATATTTTTCATTGTTTCAGTGCTATGTTGAGAAGCAATTGTTCAACTACTCAATGGGGCATTTTGGGTTCCCCTTCTTCTCCCTCCACCACCATACTCTCCCTTCAATTCCGTATACATATTTATGTTTCAAATCAATTTTTAGATCTCAGCCTCATTCCATTCAATTTTCAAGAAAGTCGTTGAGCTTAATAAAAAAAAGGCATTTTTTATGCATACGGCCCAATTCTTGTTATTTAAATATCTTTTTTACCTCCCAAATCTTTCACATGACATTAAAAGGATCACTATTTTAACTTTTAGAAAGTGAAATACACTTTTTCATGCATAGGTACGGTGGGCATGTATGTAAAGTTGAAGTTTACATGCTTAGATGTGTAAATACATGGGAATTGAGCGGTTTGCATTTAAATCTTCCAATAAAAAAATGCTCTACCAGAAAGTAGAGTTGATTGATTACCATTAAACATATTTGTCGTACCAGTGAGGAATAAATTATACTCTTACTTGCTTCTTTATGCATACAGACAAGGTTCATTTGGTTATAATGCTCTTTGTTATTTGCTTTCTTGATCAGTAGAAACAGTTTAAACTCTTCGCTACTACGCTGTTCATTTTGAGTTGCCCTTGATCTCCCATCACTAACATCCTCTATTCCAATTTCAGGAATGTCATTAAGCTTAAAAATAGGTTCTACGAGCAAGTAGAGTTGATTACCAATAAACTGGTTTGGTATACCTGCGAGGACTACTAAATGGGTTTGGTGTTATTACATTATTCAGTCTCACTTGCTACTAATAGAGAGTAAGGTTCATTTGGTGATTTTTTTAATTTTATTATATTCTTGATCAGTAGAAAGAGTTTAAAGAATCTGGTTTAACTATTGTGAGGAATGCAACTTGCTTTCAATGGTAGGTTAGATGGCTTCCTAGAAATTATATTTAATGAATAAATAAATTATTTAAATTAATCATATTTAAATTAAGTTTATCTTATCCTATTATAATGATATTTATTTCAATCATGTAATTGCTCATGTCAGTGTCACGATAGTTTTCTTAACCAAACAACTATAATTTTTACCACACCTTAGTCATTTAGTTCATCAAATACGTATCCGTTTTGCTTTGCAGCACCAACACATCATATAACAGCTCTACTATGTCATATTGAGCTTTAATTTTGGATCTCCTATTGAACTATTAGAATTTGATAAGTCAGCCTCAGCTGTAACAGGCATATCCTGAAAATTAAAAACGAAGTCATTGTTATAAAAATCTAATTGTTAATTTCTTCCAGCTCATCGGAATCATTTAAATTATTATGATTACTATTCCTAATCATATCATATTAGTTGCTAACTTGCTATATAGGCTTGTCGATTAATATATTTCACAAATTCTCTTCATGTCCGCTCTGTTTTAGATGCATTAAAAAAATTGAAGTATGCCTTGCATTGAAAAAAATTATATATGATAAGGAAAAAAAGGAATACTCCGCCGCATTACATAATTTTAGTTTGCCACTTCAATTTTGAATTTCATCTATGTTTTTTTTTATCAGAAAGGTTATTTTTTGGTGCGTTTAAATAATGCTTAACATTTGACATGTAAAACTCTTGGATCTTTTGATATTTTGTAGGCTTTCTTTATCCAGACTTAGGAGCACAAAGTAATGATGCCTTGAAGTTTAGACCGCTTTATTGAATGCTATAATCTACAAACTGATTAAAAATAAAGGGGCAATTACATATAGATCACCTAAAACATTACTATTTATAAATCAACCACCCCTCTTTCTTCCATTTTTCAAATTCTCACTTAAATATCAAAATTCATTGTAAAACTCCAACCCATATTTTTCATTTTCATGAAACTATCAATAGTATGATTGTGGCACACATATAAATAAATCGGTTTGGTATTTCAAAAGAATAATTTGGGTATTTGGTTTGTAAATAGCAATGTTTTGGGTGGTCTCTATGTAATTATCCCAAAAATAAAATGAGACTCTTTAAATATTTTAATAAAAATGCAAGTGTTGTTTAGCTCATTATTATATACATAACAATGTTATCTAATGACCTGAGGATCTTTTAGGAAAAATCTTTTTATGATCACACAGTTGGATAGGAAACTTTGATACAGATGGATCATCCATGGAATATTATATGAGGGAGATCAATGAATGGGAAGCTTAAAAACTCATTGAAATCATGATTACAGCTAGATAATGATGTCTTTTTAACATCTTTGGCACACAATTACTTTGTAATTTTCACAAGATTAGTACGCATGACTCTGGATATATTATCTTAAGTTCAACTATATAAATTCAACCACATGAATCTATATATATATATATTATAGCTTAAATTTTTATTGGTATCTATCCGCTAAAATATTAGATTTATTGTTGTTGTAATGTTCCACCATACCAACAAATGGTATTAGAACCAATGATTTGACTAAAGATCAATGTACTATGTTCCATAGGTCTTAGGAGCATCTACTAAGTTGAGCAAGGTCATTATATGGTTGCTCTTATGCAGGCTTCATTTATTTGAATGTGCTCTTTTTGCTTGATATTTAATGATATTTAAGTAAATTTGAGGAGTAATGACCAACATGGAGAATGCTCATACGATAAGGAGATTGTTGCGATACACATTAAAGTGGAAAACAATCTCAAATCAGAAGTTAAAATAAGCATTGAGCTCCTATTATTCTATTTTTAGACAATATATTGTAGTGTTTAAGCTTTTGTGTTGTTGATTATCCATTTAGTAATTTATTGGCCATTACTTGGACCCTTGATGTTCTATCCTTCTAACAGCCTTGTATTATCCCACTAAATAAAGTTATTAAAGCATGTCGCTTTTATATTGTTCCATGCTAATATTCACTGACTATTGGGATGAGATCTATAAAATGTGCCATATTTTAAACTTTGAGTGTACTACACAAATAGGCTTATTTATATGCAATATGCAATATTTCAATCCTAACCTAACCAGACAATTTAGGAAAATTTATTCTTTCCTAACTCCATCATGAAAAAAAACAAGGAAATTCAAATTTAAATTTAAAACACAAACATATAAAAAACAACATAAAAATTTAAAATTGATCTCAATCTTGTTGTCCTTTGAATCACTTTGTCTTCAAATGAATTTTAAATCTTTGGCTCCTGAACTTGATTGGTAGGTGTTCAATTGAGAATTCTCCTTCATTTATGGACTTACTAGCAATTTGATCTTCAATCTCGACAAAATGAGCTGAGAATCTCCACCACCGGTATTCTCCATTAAAATATTGAACTATCAAAATTTTAACCATCACGATTCGTATTATCTCTTCATTAGAAGATGCTCAAGTCACGATTATGGATGATCATCCGCTTGATCCAATCCCTAGAGCACTGGTAGTGAAAGAAGTTAACTTGGTTCAATTCGAATTAATTTTCTAATTTGAGACCTCTAGCTCTATCCTTCCCAAATGGACTCATCTTAGCTTCTCATTTCAAGCTATGTTACACGGTTTACACTTCCACTTGATGAAGAAATAAAAGCACTTGGTTGAAGAGAGCGACTATTACAATCAAGGAGAAAATCATTTAGAAATTTTTAAAAAATGTTAATTTATTTAGGAATTCGTAATATAAAGCCATAAAGGTATTCAAAATTAACAAAGTACTTGGTAAAGACCTGGGGTCCCTGGATTAGAATAGTATTTGGCAAACAATTATAGTGCTCAGCACTAGCAAAAGTGCTTGCCAGTAAGTAAATTCTCAGGAAGTAATAAGAACTCGATATTCAGAAACTAATGCTGAGAAATTGTCGGAAATAAGATAAAAGTATTTAGAGTACAAATGCTCAGTAATCTGTAATCACTTCTCAAGACACATTGAATTGCAGATGTCCTTTCACAAGCAATTTACTTGTCATTAAAATTAGAAAGATTTACAAATATACCACTCAACTCCTATTTATTTACATATCTGACACCTAAACTTCAATTTTTACGTGCATGAAAAGGTGTATCTCTCATTTTAGAAGTTAAAATGAATGTATTTTTTCTGCGATATGAAAGTTTTTGTTGGTATGTTGTTGCTTTCTTTTTCCACAGTGAACGCATAACATTTGAAATGCTGTCAGCTTTCAGTACTCATAATATTACACTATTTTGAGTTTTTATGGTTTAATTTCTGATTTTTTGGGTGATATGAAGGTTTGGCCGCCTGAAAGTTTCGGCTCTATTGGGCAAAAGATGTAAATTTTGTCGAGGCGCGCATGAAGATTATGCTTCTATGGTAATTTTCTGTGAGTACATCTTTTCTGCTCTGCCTTCTTCCTTGAAAAAAATGTTCTTTTTATAGCACTGTCAATGATATTCCTTCTACTAAGTCAGTAATCTTTCATCACTTTTCTGTGAGCACATCTTTTAATTTCTTCTTTTATGATTTTCTTCGTCCGATTTATGTCTAAGATCCCTTCGAAAATTATTGATAATTCATTCGCTTGTTAAGTTCCATGAATGACCATGACATGGAGGAAAATTAGAAAACATGTTTAGATTTAGCCATACTGATATGATATAATTATATGATTAGTTTTTGTATTAGGTTAATCAGAGAGGTTTGTTTGCAAATTAGTATTAATGTGATTCTTATACTTGTATAAATAGATTCTATTTTTAGACCTCAGTGAGTGCAAAAAAATGAAGGTTCTTCCTATTCTGTGCTTCTTTCTCCTACTTTCGCTATCTTTGAATTGTCATATATTTATGTTTCTCCTCCCTAGTTCTGGGTTGGGGGGAATCAAAGAAGTGAATCACTGATAGATGACAATTCAAAGACGGCGACTACTCTAGAAACAAGTTTTTGTTTTATTAGCAGGCGCATTTACATAAGTACCACCCAATTCATATATTTATTAAGCTTTAATTATTATATTTATAATGCTCAACTCTTTCATATCACATCAAAAATATCACTAAGTAAATTTTTAAAAACTAAAATACACATTTTTATGCATATGTAAAGTCGCATATACGTAAAAAATTGAAGTTTAGAAGTTAGATTATGTACATGCATAAGAATTGAATGGTATGTATGCAAATCTTCCTTTCCATTTATATTGCATTATATTTTTAATTTGGAAATTCTCGCCTATTGACTGACCCTTCTCAGGCTTCTTTGCAGGGTGGCTGTTTATTAAATTCAACCAATCCATGTAATCTACGTATGCTTTTTCTGTAATGTATGATTCACTCATGATTCATCTCTATGAATTAATGTTTCATCAATTCTTCATTGTGCAAAAACTAAATTTTATTGGGTGAAATATGATAAATAATTATTCATCAATAATTTTGTCTTAATTATTATTTTCAAGAAGTTTCAGAATTTGGTAGAATTTGGTTTTGATTTTATTATAAAATTTCAATTGTGATGGGTGTGATACTTTATTTTATTTTGGGAGTTTTTTATTTTATCTATTAATTTTTTTTTATTATAAAATATTACAGAATGTATATTTCAATTATTAAATAAAGATGATTATTTAACTGAGGTTTATGTTAAAGTATGAAATGTAATTTAATGTGCCTTAATTATAAAATTGCAAGCATTTATATATTTTCCACACAATTCTTAAATATTTACACATCTAACACCTAAACTTTCATATATAGGTGCATATTTTAGGCATTTACTTGTTCTCTCGGAAAAAAAATAAGTTTAATATTACATAAAAAATATTACTATTAAAATATATCTTTTGTTACATAGATTTATGATACCAAAGTAAATATCAAATTTTAGGTGTTATGTAAATATATAGAAATTGTGAGGTATGCATGCAAAATTTCTTTATATTGTATTGCATTCAATTCTTTTATATAAATTTGGTTTATTAATATAAAAAAAGATTTTATGCTACGGGTGAGATATTGTAATATTACTTCGTTAAATATATATATTATTAAGTGTAATCTTTATATAAAATAATCAACCAAAAAAATGCATTAAATTAATTAATAATAATCACCATTGTTACATTAAAATTAAATCATTATTTTAAATTTCAGTATTAGACTACTTTGGAAAAACTCAATTTACTCTCAAAAACTTTTCTTAATTGTGTGTATATATAATATATATCCAATGTGCCAAACAATTCGAGTACCACAACCCCACGGGTGAATCGAACCCCAGACTAGAGAGGACTTACAACTGACAAACAGATGTCCGACCAACTGATCAGAGCACGCGACGTGTGTGTGTGTGTGTATCAAAATATTCAAATATTTTCTTATTATGTGGATTTGTCATAAAACCACTTCCTTGGATGTATTTGAGTATAACTATTAATCTTTTCGAACTATTTGTTAATGATTGTCACATTTTTTATAATAAAATAAATAATCGTTCGGCGAGATGGAAGAAAAAATATTTATCTTCATTACCAAGCTTAGGCTTAAATTTATTATTTTGAGTTATTTATGCCTAAATGTTTAAAAAAGAAAACCTCTTTCATGATATCAAATTTTCTTCAAAGTAATGATGATTTAAAAAACTTCATATTATTGCTTGGGATAAATTTATTAAGCCTAAATATTGTGTGGGCTTGATCTTCAATCTCTAGACACTATCAATACTAAGATTAAAATCATTTAGAAATTATATAATTTTAATTCTATTTTATCTTATTGGTGTTTTAATTATTATGGCTCTATTTTGAATATTTTGTGTCTGAAAGTTTGTCCATTTTTGGAAAGATCTTATTAATATGGCTACAAGAATTAGACATTATTATAACTTCAAAGTTACTTCTGATAGTCAATTATATTTCTTTTATGACACTTCGATAATGGGCTATCTTTGAAAGAAAACTTGGGAGATATTATTTTTAATTGGTTTAATCTTCCTTACAATGCTAAAATTTGCGACGTTTTAAGGAATAACAGTTGAAACCGTGATATTTTTATAAATGCTCTTGTTATCTTGATTAATGATATAGTCAAAATTTCTAAATTTCATGGTCTTTCTTGTCTTTGGAAGAATGTTAACATGTTGTGTCATAAGTTAGTTTACTTCTTTTTATTTGAATCCTTTTTCTCAGTGTTGATTGGTTTAAGCTTACATGATTTAAAGTTTATATTATTAAATATACTTTTATTACTTAGAAAACCATACATAAAGGTCATAAACTTGTGATTTTCTTTGTCTAAGTTGAATTAATATGTATAATATTAGTGTTCTTTGTTCGAATATCATTGAGAATCACGATCATCTCTTTTTCAATGTCATGTTTTGGAATGAAAGAAACTTTAGAAATTTTAAAAATAAATTTACTCCAATTGATTCAATTATTCGTAACATTTATTGGATGATTATTTTTAAAAGCGGGAATTGGAAATTTAAAAAGGGATATAAGTAGCATTATTATTAAATCTTATGGTATTATGGATGATTTTAAGTAATTTTCTGTTTGCTCTGTTTCTAGTATTTTGATTTTGACTTGTTTGTTTTTTTGCTTTGTCTGATGTGTTTGAGCTTATCCTTTTTTCCTAGTTGTTGTTTCAATGGTTTCTGTTGGTATTTGTGATTGTTTCTATTGCATATATTTCCACCTATTTTTTCTTACTTTTTCTATGTATTCTTCTTTACTTTGTCTTCTTTTGATCTTTTGATGAGTTCCTATTGAATGTTGGCCTCCTACCTCTATTTATTAAGGGTCTGTTTGAAGCAGTTTATTTGGTGCGGTGACGTTATGAAAATGAATCTGGATTGTTTGGGTAAACTGCGTTTTGATAGCTTATGCGTTATGAAAATACGTCTAGATTGTTTGGGCAAACTTCATTTCTTAGGTAATAAATCTTTTAAGTATTAGATAAATGTTACCACCCAAATCTACTAGGCATGTCATTTACATACATACCACCCAAATCTTATGTATTTACATATACAAATTGCTGAAAGTAAAATAACTTTTCCTAACGTTTCTGGGACCATGAATGATGACAATGCGAAAAGCAACTGTGATTCTTCGGAAAAAGGGAGCATTTATATACATACCACCCAACTCTTATGTATTTACATATCTAACAACTAAATTTTACTTTTTTACATTCATACCACCAAAATCTATCATATCACATAAAAACATCATTATTTCCTCCTTTAGAAAGTGGCATACATTTTCTTGCATAAGATGTCATATATGTACAAATTAACAATTAAGATATGTAAATACATAAAAACTGAGGGGTATGCATGTAAATATTCCAACAACAAAAAAAACAAAAAACAAAAGAACAGTACCTGGTGCATTGCGTATATCATGTTCCTCACTTTCTCCAGAAGTGGCGGGCCATTAATTTTGTCCCATTCCAATCCAAATCCAATCCAGATCTATTAGAACCCAACAACTCCAAAACAATATAATTCATAAGTCAGAATCATACCAAGAAACAAATTTTTTTTTTCTTATTTTAGAATCAAAATCGAATTGAAATAGCTTTGCACAGCTTTTCATATAAAACAATTTGAAGAACAAACTCTTTGTTCAAACAATGCAGAAAAAATACATTACTAAGGGCCCGTTTGAGGCAGCTTATTTGGGTGGGGGTGGCATTTTGAAAACGCGGCCTACTGTTTGAAAAATGCTTTCGGCGGACGTTTTCAAAACGCCCCGACGCTCGGTGTTTTATTTGTGCTAGGGAGTCGCACGCGGTGCAAGGTATGCGTTCGACGTTCGCGACTGGCGTTACGAGAAGAATTCCTCCCGAGCCCCTCGACTGTTCTCTCTCGCGATCTCCCTCACCCCCTCTTCCCGATCTACTCCCTCGCGAAGAACATCGTTTCGCTGATCTCCTCCCTCGCGAAACCCTCGCGAAGCCTTTGCGCATTGATTCGCCGATCTCCTCCCTCGCGAAGCCCTCGCGCATCGATTCGCCGATTTCCTCCCTCACGAAGAACTCCCTCGTGAAGCCCTCACAAAGAACATCTATTCGCCGATCTCCTCCCTCGCAAAGAACATCCATTCGCCGATCTCCTCTGTAAGCTATCATGCTTTCTGGATTCAATATTGATTTCCCACAATATTTATCGCGTGAAGGGGCAGCATGCTCTCGGATGGTGAGAGTGAAGACATATCTTCCTCTATTGATTTTAGAAGTTTATTTCACTTTTCATATTTCATTTTTTAGCAATAAAACATGTTTGATAGGTACAAATAAATAAAATTATTTTTGAAAACAATTAGAATTACTCACATCTATTTTGAGTATTTTTAAAAATATATTAATTTCACTCTGCTCCAAACATGGGCATAGTGGTCATTTATTCAGTAACAACTATAAATAAGCTATTATGAATAAGCTCCCCCAAACAACAAACCAACTTATCTTGATAATCTGCAGATTATCAGATTATCAGAATAAGCTGATAATCTGCTTATCAGCAGATTATAAATAATCAACAGCTGCCCCAAACAGACCCTATCTCAGCAACAGATTATATATATATATATAATTGGCCAAAATTGCATGAAAATAAATGCAGACAAATCATAAATAGCACTTTGTCAGCTACAGAAAGGCCATTAAACAAGACATAGGATCACATATAATCATCCACAAATATATATTTATATAAAGAGAACATCAAAGCCAAAATCCACAGTGCAATTTAATCCATAAGATTAGCATTTCAGGTTCTGCATAATCTCCTAAACACAAATCCTAAAAAATATATAAAAAAAGAAAAAGAAAACGACATGGAATGAAAGGGATAATAAAAATATTTGACACTTTATCTCTTAATTTACAGAAATTATCCATCAAAACCAGTTCAGACAGATTCAGAACACAGCTCCTAACATTGGCATGTCTTCAAAGCTCCAAAGGTCCCCAAAACTTATACCATCCTGACTCATCTCAGACCCAAGAAGCGAATCAAATGATAAATCAGAGTTCCCTTCAATGAAAGGCATGAATTTCATGTCTGGCTCAAAAGCTGAGAGCTCTTCCGGCCGCCGCTTGATCCGCAGAAACAGCTTCACCAGAATTGTTCTTCAGTTTCTTCATTGGTGCAGCAGTTTCTTCCACAAACTCAGACTTAATATCTTCAACAATGGGAGGAGGAATAGATGTAATCTCAGGGAAATTAGTTTCACGTTCCCACCCAAATCCCGAGCAATTCAATGAGTTGCTTTCTTGCTCGGAACGGAAATTTATGATAGGTTCGAGAGGCGAAGAGATCGCTGAGTCGACCTTAAATTGCTCCTTTGCTTCCAATCCTGAACTCGAGTACACATTGTAATTCATGTTGTTCGAGTAACCAAAAGAGTTGTTGAAGCAAAATTCCTGGGACGAGTTTGGTTTACATGTTTTTGTTGAACTCATTTTAGGGAGGTGAGTTTGGGGAATTTTGGGGCCATCATCGGGGAAGTTTACCTTGGCTTTCTTACCGCGAATCTTACGAGCTGCAGCATCGTAAGCTTTTGCAGCTTCCTCCGGAGTGTCAAATGTTCCAAGCCAGACCCGCTCGCCTTTGCGAGGATCTCTAATCTCAGCCGCCCATTTACCCCATGGGCGCTGACGTATTCCTCGGAATTGATTCTTTCTCTTCCTTTTAGATGATTTATCGTTAGGTCCTGCAACATATAGAAACTCAACAATCAGAATTATGATGTAAAATTATTATTTGACTTATAATTTGTTTATAAAATGTTATTAAAATTATATTTTAAAATGAAATGAGAAGAATTAACTATTTGGGGCTCAAGATGTATTAAAATATATCTAATGATAGAGTTCTAGTAGAATTTTGGCAACTACTCAAGAATTTTGATGATTCTTTTGAATTTCCTCCGAAGCTCAGTTAAAATTCTTCAATTTTGGTTTAACCTATCGAAAAAGGCCGAAAATGAAAATATTAAGAGGTTTTGGATTGATTACAATCAGTGACATTAACTTCTGATCTACTTTTATGACACTGAAGCTCCTCCTTATAGTCTTTTCTTATTCTTCTAAGCCATGCAGTTAATTCTATCTCTATAAGATTATGAATAGATTATAGATCCACCTTCAAGACTAAATTTTTATTATCTTACCAAATCTTATACCAACACAAAGTTGAAAAATTTATGTCTGTATTCCAAGAAAATTCCTTCCTTGGAATCAACAATTCATTGTCAAAAAGCTAAACATGAAAGGGTCATTTCACAACTTATTTGTTTAAAATCAATTTACAAAAAAAAAAAAAAAAAAAAAAAAAAGGTTCCATGAAGGGTAAAAATGATACTAATTATCCATGTACTAAATTAGAAAAATAAGGAAATCTAGTGACAAATATAAATCCCTAAAACCAGTTTAAGGCGGCGATTTATAGGCGTTTTATAGACAGTTTCGTGGCGGTGCTCTGCCTAACCGTGATCTCAAAAAGCTGCATTTTCTCGCTAGACCTAACTAAAAAAGTTGTCTTCTAACTTTTTTTCGAAAAAAAAAAAAAAAAAAAAAAATTTAAAAAATATAGACACCGTAACTTTTTGAAGAGAAGTTTTTCCTTCAATAATTTCATAATTGCTTTTTCAAACAACTTCACTGGCCCCAAACAGACACTTAACGATTGATTTAACTTAAATCCAACCAAACATTAAAGTTGGAAAATTTAATCCAACGCCCTGTTAACTCAAATTTCCTCGTTTTTCTTTCTTTTTTTCAAACGTCCTGTCTGTTTTCCCACGTAAATCTGGATTTATTAAATTCTATTGAGAGGCTGATTTATTCCGTCATCGCTGGCGACCTCCTATGTCTGCAATTGGGTTTGATAAATCCGGTTTTATCAGATTTGATAAATCCCCTTTAATGAAAATATAAGGTGCAGCCCAACACCCCCTTAGAAATTCAAACCCCACAAGGTAGAACCTTTAAGCAACACAGTACCGAATTATGTTAGCTCAGAGACCACAAAATTATTCTACTGATAAGTAAGACATAGCTTTCTTCCATTAAAAGAGATACCATTCCAAAACCTAATTAAAAACAGATATACCATAAAGGCTTTAAGAAAATAGAAGCTCAGCAATATTCTAAAACGACTGCACGAAATAGAAAAGTAAAAATTCAAAAGATTAGAAGCCTAAAAGGTCATAAACCTAAAAATCCACAATCATTCACATGCTCTCCATCCAAATAAATCGATCAAAAAGACTCCAAAATCCCTAAGAAAAAACACAATCAAATCCCTATTTCAGCACAGAAAACCAAAAATAAATAAATAAATAAACAGGAAACAGTGAATTCTCCATTAATCCACTCACCTCGGGAAAAAGAAGACGCCTTAGGGCGAAAGACCAACGGCTTAACCTCGAACAAATTCTCCAGTTCCTCCTCCTCAGGATCGTCCTCAAACTCCTGAAAATCGGCCTCGAAATCATCGTCGAACACCGCCGCTCGAATCCTCCGGCCGCCCTTGCTCTTCCTCCTCCGATCCGGCCATAGCTTGTTGGCGGTCACTCTGCTTGACCGCAGGCTCGACGTCGAGATGAAATCGGAGATGATCGCTCCACCGCACATAACGAAATCGGAAAGATAATTATTTTTTTCTTGTTGAAGAAGACGAGGGCAAATGAGACGGAGGACACCATATATAGGAATGGGGAGAGAAATTCGGGGAAAGCGTGTGGCCAATGTAATTATATACAGAGCTTTTACATATCTACCACCCAATTTCTATGTATTAACATATCTACCGTTCATTTTTAATTTTTACATGAAGATCATCCGACTCCTATATTTTTTATATAAAATAATGTAGTAGCTCAAAATATATTAATTTAGGATTAAAATATAAGTATAGTTTAAACACGAATTCTACTATTTTTGTTATATGATTTAAATTTTATTTGAAGTTTATTTTAAATGCCTAAAAATTTTTAAAAGAAGTTCATTTAATAGTAGATCATGGGGAATGAGCTCTCCAAAAAAAAAATAAAAAAAAAAAAAAAAAAAAAGAAAATTGATTGTTACCTCACAAAAGAGCTCTTTGGCTTGGTGAGCAGCCCAGAACTTAAATACAGTTTTTCGGTCCTAAACCTAGCCGATGTGAGACTTTTTGTCCGTGACATTCTTCTCCACTCAATCATGTGGCGCCCTCGTCAAGGATCGACTTATCTGAGGGTCCCACTTGACCATGAAGAGTCAACACACCTGACAAACAGTAATATGTTGTGATATCACTTGTTATCTCCTAAGAGATTGTCACATACCAACTTTACCCAAGTCACATGTGTGGCTTTAGCGCTCTCATTTATCATTAAATTAGCCTACTCATTACAACGCTTAGACTTGTGAGCACCAAACACTCTTATGAAGAAGAGTAGGGAGAAAGAAACACTTCACACTTGAATATTTAATGCTTTGATTCAATACTTGGGAGATTACAAATGAGAGGAGGGACACTTATTTATAGCCCCCTCCAAGCCTAATGAAATACTCTAGAACACCTTAAATTATTATAATTTCTTAAGAGTTCTATATTCCTCTCTTATTACTCACATAGCTCTAGAACATTCTAGGTTATTCTTAATTTCTTCTTGGAGTCTTTCTTTTTTATTTTGTCTAGAATTGTGTAGAATCTTCTAGAACCTCCTGGATGGCTCCTTACATTTCAGTTTTCTCTAGAATCTTCCACTCCATGCTTGTCTTGCCAACTTCTTGAATATAGCAAAGGGTGACAATACGCTCCCCTCATAAGGGGTATTTTACAAAAAGTTTCCCTTAGGGGAGTTTCTTTAAAAATTATTTTTTTAAAAAAAATTATAATTTAGGAAATATTTTATTATAAATAATATAAATATTAATATATATTAATTATTATTATAAATAGATTTGTTAATTAATTTTTGTATCAATGAAAATATTAAATTTGTTAATTAATTTTCACATAAAGTAATTTATATTTAATATTAAATTATAATTAAATAAAGTGAAATAACAAAAAATATAAAATCCGTACAATTCATTTAATATTAAAGTATTCTCGCAACATAATATTTACACAAAAGTACTATCTTCTACACCAGGATAAAATGAGACAGAGCCCAATGTATATCGAGATGGTGGTCGTAGGATTGTTATTTGTGAATTTTTTTTCCAATATTTTTTTTTTTTTTGTTGGGTCATTTGTAGCATCTCGTGGTATTCATAATTTTTTTTCATGAAGATTTGGCGGAGAATAAAATTTGTGTACTAAAATTCTTGTCTACATCAGAAATAAGAACATAAATGAGAATGTTCTGAAATTTTAAATTCAAGTCATCCTCAGTAGTAGTTTTCCACTGCAAGTCAAATGATGAAAAAAACATATATGTAGGTTCCTACATAACTAGAGGGTATCACATATATTATTTGGACAGAAAAAGCATATGACTCGGGTTGTTGTCGTTCTTGTGACTCTTGAAACGAAGATCTCTTGGAACTTTATCGTAAGGTTTCTAAATCAAAAAAATCATATGTGGATCTTCCTTATTCTCTTTGTACTTCTCCATCAAACCTCTCAATAAATGTATAGCTTCCATATTAGACCTGCCCAACATAAATCCAAACTAATTGTGAAATTTTTTTCTGTAATACGTCTTAACCTATGTTCAATTACCATCTCCCATGATTTTAAAGTATGACACATCAACTTAATTCCTCTATAATTTGCACACTCTTGTGCATCTCCTCTATTCTTCAAAATATGGACTAAAATATTTTATTCTTAATGAGATATTCTATATTTTGCACACTCTTGTGCCAAAATTGGAGACGTCGTCCATGAGGACTATCGTATATATTTTTCACCTTCTTTAGTACTAATTCATTATAAATATCACTGAAAGCAAAATTTTATTCATCATATAAATTTATATTTTTTCCAGTTCCCTATGTTTTTTATATTTAAATTAATTTTTATAATATAACTTCTTATATTTTATTTTTTTAATACATTATTACTCCAACACTAACTGTTTTTATTTTTATTTATAGAAATTTTTTCTTTGTGATTCTCCAAGTACATCTTTTGCCACTTACTTATATAATTTGGCCTATATTTATTTATAGAGCCTTTACATATCTACAACCCACCCAATTTATATGTATTAACATATAAATCATTCATTTTAATTTTTACATAAATATCATCTGATTCCTATATTTTTAATATAAAATAATGAAATAGCTGAAAATATATCAATTCAGGATTAACCAGCTATTTTTGCTATATGATTTAAATTATATTTGGAGTTTCTTCAAATTAAGTATGTGATAAATCAAACATTTGAGTGATATTTTGAACAGTGACATGATCAAACTATTGATAATTTGATAAAAAAAAAAATGAAAAAATATGTTTTGAGAGTTTATGATGAATTTTGATATTTTAATGACAATTTAAAAAAAAAAATTTAAATTTATAAATAATAATATTTTGAGGTATCGTTGCATGTAGCTGCCCTTTTTTATTTAAAATTAAATTCCAAGTCTTTTTTTTTTTTTTTTTTGGTGGAAAAAGAGCATTTTTTTATTTTCTTATTATTATGATAATGAGAAGTCAAATTTTTCTACTATTTTTATTTTATTTAGGCCAAATATTCCCGTGTCCAGGCTTTGATGGGGCCCACTTGGTCCCCAGCTTTTCGGGGACCGAAAAGCCAGTCGACATGGTGAGCGGCATAGCGCACGTGCCCCGAAAAGTCAGTCGACATGGTCAGTCGACATAGTTTACAACTTTGCCCTCGCCAAATTACATAAATACTTTGAAAAAAAACATGTCGACAAAAAAGCTCAATTTTAAAATTAGTTTTTTTTTTTTCCTTAAACGTTAAATTATTTTAATTTTTTTAATGTAGATAACATGGAATAGCTATTTTCATTTTATATTTTTGCTTAAGAAGTGGTCGTTATTGTAATTATCTGTGATGTGAGTCAAAAAAATTCACGACAGTTGAGTAAAAATTTAAAATCTTAGTGTTGAACGAAATCTAGTACAGACACAAATAAAAATGAAGTGGATATGACTCAAATTTTTTTATGGAAAACCATGCAAAGAGAAAAAAACTATGGGGTCTAGCACAGTTTAAATAATTCAACATATAATTATAAATACATAGACGTGTTTTCCTTTTAAATTAGAGAATAAGAAATTACAATTTTGATGTATAATGTAGTTTAGTAATAATAGTTATAACGAGCCGTAAAAGTCGTAGTCAACTGATATGTTGCGATAATGTAGGTTGGTCAGAAAGGCTATAGCAGAGGGTTGTAATAACAATTGACAGCCACATAGATCATAATAGTGAGTTATGAGGAGAGATGTTCAGGTGTCCAGAGAAGGTCGTTGTATTCTTTATATGGCATTTGTAAGCAGTTATTATGGGAGTTTTACCATACTCGAGTTTTGTTATTATACGACTTTGGAATGCATCATTACATCGTATTTAGGCTGCGTCGTTATATTATCTTTGGGGTGTGTTGCTACACCTTATTTAGTTGTGTCGCTACGTCTTCTTTGGAGTGGATCAATACAACATATTTCGGATGTGTTGTTACACTATCTTCAGGGAGCGTTGTTGTACCGTATGATTCATCGATATCAGCAACTTGGAAATGGCTTGTGAGCAATGGTCGATATGGTCGGCGAATCCAAGATCAGGAAATGTTTTCCAGATCTTTCATCTAGAACATCATTGGAATTTGACTCCTCCTGTTCCAGCTCCTCACTCTTCATGAGGGGAGTAAGATTCTATTTATAGAGTCTAGGAGTAATCTCTGTAAATAAGGACAGAATTTGAACCATTTCATTGGACGACCTAGAGACATTCTCACAATCACATATCGTAATGCAAACATTCTAGTGACTTGATATCAAAATTGAGTGATCTTTGGCTCAAATACTAGAATTGATTAATCATGGGCTCATTGTATTAACCCTATCAAGAGACTTGATTTAACTATAAGCTCGTTATATTTAGAATCCATTTGACCTTCAAATTAGCCACCGAAAGCATCTAAAATGACTTGATGGCTTAATTTGACTCAGATTTGACAAATTTGTGTCATTGTGTTCGTTACGTAGAGCTGCTCTGTTTGACTATAGGTTTGCTGAAATGAGAGTTTTGGATATTTTTAATTTGAGTTTGAACATTTTTTTATAAAAAAAAATTTAATTTGTGTTAATCTCCTCGGGATTTATGTTAAATAAAAGAATTTGTTGATGATAAATCAATTTGATTTAAGGTTTAACCACACTTTAAAAATTATTTCAACCATGAATGAAAATGAATCAATCATAACATTGTCATTATTCAATCGTATTTTGAAATTATTTGATTACATTTGAATCATGGTGTTGATTATTATTCTAGGAAAATTTTGAGTTCATTTATTCAAAAAACATTTGACCTAAAATAAAATTTTAAACATATTTTAAGGAAATTATAATGTTGAATCTGAATTTATTTCATGAATCACACCATAAAAATAGAGCGTAGGAAGAGAGAGGGGGAACAAGAGAGAGAAATCACAAACATGAACAATAGAATGAGAAAATTATGTAACATTTAATTCATGAAATGATTCTATATTCTGGACAAAGGAGGTGCAATATATGAAGTTACATTTATGC